CAGATGACAATCCAATTCACTCCTGAGTGTCTCGATTGAACCCGCCTCCACTAGCCTCTCAGACAGCACATTCCTGAAGCCAACCACTCGCTGCGTGGCAAAACATTTCCAGCCCCAGCCATTGCTTCTTTCCTCAACACTTTAAATCAGCATCCTTTGGTTATCCGTCCCTCCATCAACGGGATCATTTTCTGTCCAATTACTCTCACTATTTTGACTTCCTCCATCAAACCCTTCCTCAAACTCTGCCTTCTTCAATCTATCGACACAAGTTTTTCTTTTTCTATTCATTCATTGAATGAGGGCATCACTGGATAGACGGCATTTATTGCCCATCCCTAATTGCCCAGAGGGCAGTTAAGAGTCAACTGCATTGCAGTGGGTCTGGAGTCACATGTAGGCCAGACCAGGTAAGGATGGCAGTTTCCTTCCCTAAAGGGCATTAGTAAACCTGATGGGTTTTTCCAACAATCAGAAATGGTTTCATGGTCATCATTAGATTCTTAATTCCAGATTTTTATTGAATTCAAATTCCACCATCTGCCATGGCGGGATTCAAACCTAGTCCCCAGAATACTATCTTGGTCTCTAGATTAATAGTCCAGTGATAAGACCATGAGGCTATCGCCTGTCCAGAGCCATTCTTGAAGTCTTTTGTGCACCCTCTTGAAAGACTTCACATCCTTTTCTTAAGTAAGGTGCGTGTTTAAGGGATTGGTTCTGAAAGGCTTAATGTTCGAGCCTGTATAAAGCATCTTCCAATCTGATGGTGTTATGAGGAATTTGGTGTGGAGTGACAGAACGTCTTTGGACCTTCTGGAGTGAAAACCTGTATCAATAGCCTGAGGAACAAAATCTAACTTAACGGACGGAACTTCTATCCGATTGCTATCATGTCTTACATGAGAAGTAGGTTATTGTGAGAGGCGCCTCTTATTAAGACTCACTAGTGTTTTTTTGCCTGATTACTGTAAACCAAATAGACCTTAGGCACAGCCAAGGATGAAGGTGATGACAGCAGCTTACCCCAGCCACAAGTTGGTAGTGGTTGGCTTCGCTACACATCTGGTAGGGCCTAGAACTAGTCAGAAAACTCCAGCTGGCCAGAGCACTGGTTTGTACAAGTTTAACTCCTTGCTTGTGTGCTTTCTGTTATTTTTAATAAAGCCTAGAAGGTATTTTCTATATCAACCTGTTCTGAGATGTTATTACACTGGTGCAGGCGGGACTTGAACCTAGACCTGCTGGCTCAGAGATAAAGCAGGGAGTACTGTACACTTTATTAACCGTGCTGTCAACCTGTTCTGTCACCTTCAGTGACTTCTGTTCATATGCTTCCAGGTCCACTACTCCTGTATTCCCTTAGAGTTGTGCTGAATGTTTATATTATCTCTCTATGTTCGTTCCAATTCACACTTCACAGCACAGAATTTCATTTGCCACTTGTCTGCTCATTCCACAAGATTGTCCCATGTTGTACACTGTCCTCACTGTTAACAATGCTTCCAATTTTTTTTTTATCCTCCACCAGTTTTGAAATTGTACGAAGTTATAGGCCATTAATAAATATGAGGGAAAACTAGTGTCCTGGGGAACTGGAGAATTGCAACGCAACCCCTCTAGCCCAGAGAACATCTATTAACCACTATTCTCAGTTTCCTGTCACTCGTCCAATTCCACACGCATATTGCTGCTGTCCTTTGATTCCATGAGCTCTTTAAGTATTTCCCGGAGCTATTTCTGAAATAGAAGCATCCAGATTGAAGCAGTTTCTCAATTCCTTCATTTAAGATAATGGGTCTTCCACTGAGACTGCAGAATTAGAACATGACACAAGTGAGCTAGGTCCAGTCCCAAATTGGAAGTCATTATTAATTGTTAGAGTGTGCCTTTTATTTTAACCAATGCTTTCCCAATGTGGCTTCCTTGGCTCCTGTACGGCAGTTCGGAAATCCAGCCGACTTCTGCGGAGGCTTTATTTCCTTAGGTGCTTGCCCTTAATCTTGGCATTTGGGATTTAATATTTCCTGAAGGTAGGGAGACAACTGTGTCGCAACTAATTCACCTTTCTGCCCCAAGAATCAGTTCATTCATCTCTTCGAGAACCTTGCACCGGGAGAAAGAGAGTTAGCTTCACCCTCTCGATCCCCACCTTCCAAATTAAAATACCTCTCCTATATCAGAACGGGACGACACTTTCAGGCTGCAGAGTGCTTTGAGACGCCTGATGCTTGTGAACATGGCAATTTAAAAGCAACTCTTAATTTCAAATGAATTGAAAACAGGCATAAACTCCGAGGCACCAGCTTCGTGTCAGCAGTTTTCTCCTCAGCAGTCAAGGTGATGCTGCTTGCAGTTGAATAGAGTACATGGTGACAATCATGAACAGTGGCCATTAGTCTCCCGATGGAGTTGTAATTGGCTTCGGTCAACAGTGAGTGTAAGCCTCTGGTTGTTGAGGGCTTTCCCACATAAATGCTGTTGTCGAAAGATGTTGGTTTTCATGCTAATGTTGCAATTGCAGGGCCGCAAGGTGTGTGCACGATGTGGGGGCTGAAGCATTGGAGCTAGGTTTGCACTATTTCTTCCTTTATTCATTCACGGGATGAGGGCATCACTGGCTGGGCAGCGTTTATTGCCCAGTTGAGAGTCAACCACATTGCTGTGGGTCTGGAGTCACATGTAGGCCAGACTAGGTGAGGGTGGCAGATTTCCTTTCCTAAAGGACATTAGTGACCCAGATGGGTTTTACCTCAACAATCAACAATGGATTCACAGGCATCATTAGATTTTTAATTCCAGGTATTTATTGAATTCAAATTCTACCATCTGCCCTGGCAGGATTCGAACCTGGGGACCTCAGAACATGATCTGGGTCTCTGAGTTAACAACCAGCGGTAGTACCGCTAGGCCATCGCCTCCTACGTGTGCTCAATCATCCTCAATCCAAGCCTTAGGAGCAGAATGATAGAGGAGCAAGCAGTTTCTTAGCTACCTCAAAGTCAGCAAAACAAAGGAGCTGCTCATCGACTTCAGGAAACAGAGTCCGCTGCTGCCAGCCCCGAATGCCAGGAGGACCATCCTTGTTGACGCTACCTTCAGTTGCCAGGTGAAGCTGCCGCAGCTGACACTCTGTGCAAGGCTCGCTCTCATCGCCATTACAATGCTGCCGATAAACCCGCCACATCAAAGAAAAATAAAATATAAAATGGAAAAAAAGAAAAGTAAACGAAAGAGAGGAAATAAATGGAAAGAAAACGAAACGGGTGGGAGCAGATGAGCCCCGGTCAAGAGCCCTCACCCAGCCCTAAACCTAACCTCTTCCCTAATATGAGGTTCTTCTGATTGATGTAAAATATCATGAGCTGTGAAAACCTGTATGAGAAACACATGAATTGATGAGGGTACATAAATTACTTATTACAATTGAATTGCAAAAGTATGTGTTTGAGATGAAGGAAAACTGATCTTTCCCTTTATTGCATTGACACTGCAGGCTGCCCACCAAGGCTGTGGAATCTGGTGTTTATCCTGGGGCAGCTCTGATAAAGTCACGTAGATGCCTGTCAACCGGACAGGTTCAAAATTAGGTTTTGAGTTGGTAAAACAGACCAGCAAAGACAGTTGGTACAAATAAGAAAGCCTGCTTTGTGGAAGTCACTGTATTTTTCAGTCCGCATGAGAGTCCAGACATTTCTGGTCACTGCCTTGTGTCATTTTGAATGCTGACCCCTGTGTGGGGGGCAGGGGGTGTGGGTGTGTGTGAGGATGTGTGGGTGTTTGTCTGTGGGGATGTGTGGGTGTTTGTCTGTGGGGATGTGGGTGTATTTGTGTGTGTGTGTGGTGGGGGGTGGGGGTAGGTGTGGTGGCCGTTCCTCCAGGTGACTTTCCCATCATCCATCCCTGAAACTAGGTGCAACTTATTGGGTGACAGCAGAAGAGGTCTGCAGTGGTTCTGCCACTTGATAGCTTGCTCAGGGCTTCAGCCATGGTGGGGCATGTGGGTGCCAGGTGGTGGATTGTTGGTAGCTGCTCCCCTTTCCCAACTGGTAGGCCCTTTATCATGCCCCTTCCCCCTCCACCCGAGCCTGTTTGCCCCACCTACCCAACCAGTCTCACCCACTGGCTTTTGGCCTTCCTCCTTCAGGACCATATGACGTGATAGCACTAGGGCCAGAGAGCTACTGACGACAGCTCGGGGGAAATCACAAAAACTCTTAGCTTCCACTTGCTTCCATCAGTGCGTTCGGGTGTTGAAGATAACGTCAACATCTGAAGTTGTTAGATAACTGTTGATAACCTGACTCCCTGTCCTGTCAATTGTCAGACAAGTCTTTGACATTACAAGTCTATTCAGTCGTTCTCGTTGCTAGGAGAGAGGCACTGGTGGTAATTGTGGAAAGGCCTAACAAACTGTTTCTGCTGATCCTAATAATGTCGAACGAAAATACATGAACAGTCAAAAATTTCCTGGGTGCCACCTTGGGTGGCAGCTCTCAACTCTTGATCTGTGTCAAATCCCATTCCAGAGGCTTCAGTGTAGAATCCAGACTGACCACTGCAATAGGGAGAGCAGTAGGGAGAGAAATGTTAAACAAGGCCCAATCTGTGCTGTCCTGGTGGATTTGCTGAATGCCTGGGGTCTTTTTTGAAGAGCAGGGGAAATCTTTCCAAAGGCCTGACTGCAGGTCGTCTCTCGATCAAAATCATACTTTCTGGGAGCTTTCTGTGTGCACATTGAGAGCCACATTTCACCTTGCTACAAAGACTACATGATAACAGTACTTCAGCTCAAAATGCTTGGAGACTGCTTGGATGTCTCCAGGTGGTGTCAGACACTACATAAATGCAATCCTTTCTTTCCTATCTCGTACCAAGTAAACCAATCAGAGTGACTGACTGAAAACTGATGAGAGTACCCTTTCAGGAGTTCCAACTTTGGTGTCTGAGAAATGCAGACGAGCGCATTATATTTACGCTTCTGTGTTGTATGTTCACAGGCGAAACCCATTGCACTTCCATTTCATCACCGACGCCATTGCCAAGCAAATCCTGGGCCATCTCTTTGAGACGTGGATGGTTCCTGCAGTGACAGTCAACTTTTATGATGCTGACGAATTGAAGGTCAGAAATTTATTTATTGTTTTCGGCTTCCAACTTTTCCCTGGCCCACACCCCTCCCCTCCTCAACCTCATTACCCTCACAGTGATGGGTTATCCCCCCAACTTCATTTCGAAAGATTGAACTGGGAGTGAGAACAGATCCCGTGCCAACACAGAACATCCTTAGTCCCAGCAGTTGTGAGCTGAACTTTTGCTATATGAAGCTCTACTTAGATCCCAGATGGTGTGACTATGATCAGTTCTGGGCACCACACTTGAGGGTCAGTTCTGGGCACAATGTTTGAGGGTCAGTTCTGGGCACCATGCTTGAGGATCAGTCCTGGGCACCACACTTGAGGGTCAGTTCTGGGCACCATGCTTGAGGATCAGTCCTGGGCACCACACTTGAGGGTCAGTTCTGGGCACAACGCTTGAGGATCAGTTCTGGGCACAACGCTTGAGGATCAGTTCTGGGCATCACACTTGAGGATCAGTCCTGGGCACCACACTTGAGGGTCAGTTCTGGGCACCATGCTTGGGGGCGGCATGGTTGCTCAGTGGTTAGCACTGCTGCCTCACAGCACCAGAGACCCAGGTTCGATTCCACCCTCGGGCAACTATCTGTGTGGAGTTTGCACATTCTCCCCATGTCTGCGTGGGTTTCCTCCAGGCGCTCCGGTTTCATCCCACAGGCCAAAGAGGTGCAGGTTAGGGTGGATTGGCCATGCTAAATTGCCCATAGTGTTCAGGGATGTGCAGGCTGGATGAATTAGCCATGGGGAATGCAGGGTTACAGGGTTGTGGGTCTGGGTGGGATGCTCTTTTGAGGGTTAGTGTGGACTCAGTGCGCCAAATAGCTCGCTTCCACACTGTACGGATTCTGTTATGATTGACGAAGGTATATCTGCCTTGGAGAGTATGCAATGGGGTTACAATGTCAAGATCTTCTGGATAGATTTAGCTTTGTAGTTATTTTTATATCAACCTGTTCTGGCACATTATGACACACATCTTGAGCAGCTAGGACTTGAACCTGGGTCTCCTGCCTCAGAGGTAGGGACACTACCACTGCACCATAACAGCCCATGCCCTTAAGCGACTATGGTTCGGCCACATCTGGAGTATTGTGTCCAGTTCTGGTCGCCTCATTAAAGGGAAGATCTGGAATTGTTGGAAAAGATGCAGAGGAGATTTACCAGGATGTTGCCTGGAATGGAGAGAGCTAGGGCACTTCTCTTTAGAACGACGAAGGATGAGAGGTGACTTGATAGAGGTGTACAAAATGATCAGAGGTATAGATAGAGTGGACAGCCAGAGACTTTGTCCTAGGGTGGAGGTAGCTATTACGAGGGGACATTGTTTTAAAGTGAGTGGAGGTAGATGTCAGAGGTCGGTTCTTTACTCAGAGAGTGGTAGGGGCGTGGAATGCATTGCCGGAGAGGGTAGTGGAGTCGGCCTCATTAGGGGCATTTAAGCAACAATTAGATAGGCATATGGACGATAGTATAAGGTAGGGGTGGAGGTTAGATAGACCTTAGGTTTAGGGTAAAAGTTCAGCACAACATCGTGGGCCGAAGGGCCTGTACTGTGCTGTACTGTTCTATGTTCTATCTCAGACAGAGCTGACTCATGGAGTGTTTAACCTGAGGGCAGGCTTAACTCGTATTCTCTTGGAAACGGGTGAAGCAGGAATGATCCAAATGCGTAAAGTAGTCGATAGGCTCAATAAAGAAACAATTGCACTAATGGGAGAGGCCAGATGGAAGGAGAGTCTTTAAAATTATCAAGGCCCGTTAAGGGGGTTATCACAATGTAGTTCTAAACACAAAGTTGAATGGAAATCTGGAATTCCCTTCCCTAGCCTCAGCTGGGGATCAACTGAAAATGCTAAAACTGAGGTTGATCAAATTTTTTCTCAAGCATAAGTATCTCAGGATGATGGAACCAAGGTGGAGTGAGGCAAGAGATCTGCTGTGATCTCACTGAATGGTGGAGCAGGCTCGAGGGGCTGAATGGCCTCCTGATGCTGTTATGCACAAACATTGTTCTGCAGTTTTGTTATGAACAGCTGTTTTTGGAATGCTGTGACACCAAATGTGGATGCACAAATCTGTTTCTGCACTTGTCCATTCAGCACGAGTGTGATAGCAGTTGTCACATGAAGGCAGGGCATGAGAATAGAGGGCTAAGCAACTTAGTACTTGTGTTACAGTAAAGGTACTGCCAATACGTGAGTTTGAAAAACACTCTGTAAACTTACAATCATAGTCATACAGCACAAAAACAGACCCTTTGGTCCAACCAGTCTGTGCCGACCATAATCCCAAACTAAACTAGTCCCACCTGCCCATGCTTGGCCCATATCCCTCCAAACATTTCTTATTCATGTACTTATCCAAATGTCTTTTAAATGTTGTACCTGTACCCACAGCCTCCACTTTCTCTGGAAGTTCATTCCACACACAAACCATTCTCTGTGTAAAAAAATTGCCCCTCGTGTCTTTTTAAAATCTTTCTCCTCTCACCTTAAAAATACACCACCTTGTCTAAACATCCCCACCATAGAGAAAAGACACCTACCACTCACCTTGTCTATACCTCTCATGATTTTATAAACCTCTATAAGGTCATCCCTCAACCTCCTACGCTCCAGTGAAAAAAGTCCCAGCCTATCCAGCCTCTCCTTATAACTCAAATCCTCCAATCCTGGCAACATCCTGGCCAATCTTTTCTGAGCCCTCTCCAGCTTAATAATATCCTTCCTACAACAGGGAGACCAGAACTGGACACAGTACTCTTTCACTGCAGGGCAAAGAATAAAATGTGGAGCGGTGCCAAATCTCAGAGAGGCCAATATTTTACAGTCAGGACCACTTCCTTCCTAGGACGTGGGCGACCCTGACAAAGCAATATCATTAATGAGTTTCCAGACAACTGGAGCAGCAAATTTATTGAGGGCCATGGACCAGTGCAGAGGTAGAGGAGATGTTAAGTGAAACATGGTTAAAACTTAACAGAAATTGCTGTTCAACTCAGTGATGCAGATAAAGTTGTTATACTCCATCTGATCCTCCTCCCATTCCCTATTTAACCACAGTAACTTTGATAGTAATGGTGCCTTAGGTTGAGTCAGCACTTGAGGTTGTACCAGGAGATTACTTCAAGCCCATGAATCCCAGAGGCATTATGATGCAGCGAATAGATCTGATACCATCGTTCCTGTTCTCCTAACCTGTCCAGATAGGTTGATTAAAAATAATTAATACATGGGTCATGCGGTGAAGTGGTAATATTCCTACCTCTGGGGCAAGAGGCCCAGGTTCAAGTCTCACCTGCTCCAGAGGTGTCAGAACAGGTTGATTGATATCTATACACAACGAATGCACTCGTTCTAAACCCTGGTGCTGATAGAATTACTAAGGAGTGTTTTTAGTCATTGATGCAAACTTAAAATCAAATCAAATTTAAACCAGTTTGAATTTACATTCCAGCCAGAAGTATCATGGATTCCAAACAAGCATTACTCAGGGATATACGGACTAATGAAACTGGTTCTCACCAAGACTCTGCCTGCTTCCCTGGAACGGGTCATTGTCCTCGATACAGATATCACCTTTGCAACAGACATCGCAGAACTTTGGGCTGTACTTCACAAGTTCAAAGGTAGTGTGTGTGTGTGTGTGGTGTGTGTGTGTCTCCTTTCACTGCTCCCCTACTTCACAAATTCATAAGCCAAATTGTTTTGAGATACCAATTGGAAGCTTTTATGCCTCACCTTGGAGAGAATGAATGGAGAACTACAGTTCACAATCTGTTCACTGTGAAAATGTCCCCACTCTGAAACTCAGAGCATTCTGTGTGATGTCTAGCTGTGCACTCCATGCGATTTTGGTCATCACAGCCAAGGTAGAAGCTGTGAGACTACAATCGACCAACAAAAAAGTAAACTCAGTTTTTCGTCATCCCTTATCGGACATGAATGGATGCTGGGTTGAGAATATGAACTTAAATTATGAAGCACAAAATGGTCAAAAGCCTCTAAAAATTGCTTTATAGGCTTCCACATTAGGAATGAACTGCACTTCAGTGGGTGGAAGGGAAAGAGGATTGTAAAGAACTTTCAATCCTGAAGGGATTTGTAGAACATCTCACATCTATATCGTAGCTTGGAGATGTAAAATGTCTGAAGGTGTTTCAACAAAGTATAACTAGACAAAAATAAGCCAAAGAGATAGGATTTAAGGAGCTTCTCAAAGAGAAGAGAGGGAGTGTGATAACACTACAAGGCCTATGGGGTATCACTAACTAATTCCCTCATGGAGTTCATTGACTATGAATTCCCTTGGTAACAGACAATAGCCTGCCCCGTTGGAACTCATCACCTGAGCCCTGTAAAAAGCAGACTGAGGGTTGGCTCTGCAGAACTGTCTGTCCCAAGTTGAGACTAGCCTATGAATGTCACAAGTAGTGGCTCTATTTTGATGTTCAACCATAAATGGTGTTCCTTTCCAGTCTGAAATCCTGAGTTATTGCATCGGTGACGAGGGCAAAACAAAGTTTTGGACAGCCTTGCCTTTCAACAAACCCAATCAGAGAGTGATGGGGAAATATTACAAATGCTGCCTTTTGGGAAAGAGGATCCTTATGATGTGGGTATGGAGGATCGGCCCCTGTGCGCTGAAAGAATGAGATAAATTCTTTCAGGCAAAAGGGATAAAAGAGTATTACAATCAGTACGTCATTCTCCTGACCATTTGTGGGGCCCCACATTTCAGCATCATGGAGAGTTTAACCGACCCAGCAAATCCAGGGTCTAAACCTGTGACAAACAGATAGATATGGTCGTGGACCTCCCGACTCCAAACCAGCTGTTATATTGCAGCATTACAGGTTTAACACAGCAAATCGACTTCCCGGGGAACCAGTTACTGAATTTGTGATGAGACTGTGGAAATTGGTGCAACACTGTGAATACGGGTCAGGAGGTTGGGAAATGTGAAGCGATTGCTTGGTTAGTGGAATTAATGATATTGCGACCCAAGGAAGCTACTGACTAAACTATATCTGGACCTCAAGACAGCCATTGAACTGACCCTCTCTCAATAAAAAAAAAGGGGCTCTGGACTTTCAGGGGTCCATAGACAGTCCTGTCCTCAAACTTGGGCTAACACTAGACTGCAGAACCAAGTCCCCAGTGGATAATACTCACGGCCCCTGTTTGCTGCCAGGGAAAGGCGATTGGAGACAGAGGCTGCAAGGTTCCAGAACTGGATTGAAAGTTTCTCCACAATACAGTAAGGAATAAGAACATCTACACCGCTCTTGTGGTCATGGAGTTCACCCCAGACAGGGTGACTGAAACAAGTGAAATGTGTCCCACCCAAACCGAAGGATGAAGCCACCTCAGGGCAGGTCTTTACAAATAAATCAGCCCGAGGATGAGGAAGTGATGCAGCTAACTTACATCATTGGTGCCAAAGGGGCACCAGTTAGGATAAAACTCCAGGTAAATGGCCGCCCCCTACTCACAGGTACTGCTGTATCTATTGCTGGGGAGGAAACTTTCAGGAAATTCTGATGGGGGCATCTTGCATTTAATCCTGCGAGACACCAAGGCTAGATTGGCCACATACACTGGGGAGCCCTTAAGTATTATTGGAACCAGTTGTGCAGGGGTGACAGGCAGCCCGACTACCCTCACTGGGGGAGCAAAGGTCAGGTCCCAACCTTTTGGGAAGGGACAAGCTGCAGAAAATCCACCTGGATTGGCAACAGATCTTTAAAATTGGTTCTGGCGATCTGTACGATGTCATTGGAAAATGACCTGAAGTGTTCCAAGAGGGCCTCAGGGAGGAAAAAGGCACCAGGGCAAAGATCGCTGTAGACCCAGTTGCCTGATCTAAATACTTTAAGGCATGGTCAACCCCCATGCTATACACACCAAAGTAGAGGCCGAATTGGAATGTCTAGAGGCATCGTGAGGAATATTAGTGCGGCACGGTAGCTCACAGCGCCAGGGACCTGGGTTCAATTCCACCCTCGGGCGACTGTCTGTGTGGAGTTTACATGTTCTCCCCATGTCTACGTGGGTGTGCTCTGGTTTCCTTCCACAGTCCAAAGATGTGCAGATTAGGTGGATTGGCTAAGCTAAATTGCCCGTGGTGCTCAGGGGTCTCTAGGTTAGGTGGGTTATAGGGGATGGGTCTGGGTCAGTGTGGACTTGTTGGACCGAAGGGCCTGTTTCCACACTGTAGGGATTCTATGATTGTACGCCCAGAACAATTTGCCCCAAGAGGAAAGACTTTGCAAATGTCACACAACGACTAATGTTGACAAATATTTTGGCTCATTATGACCTCCACTCATTGTAGCTTGCAATGCCTCCCCCTCTATGAGATTGGGGGTATTATCATACTGTTGGGATGATGGGATAGAATGTCCAATCACGTATGGGTCTCAAACTCTGGCGGAGGCAGAAAGAAGGTTTGGAAAGGTAGTCATGGTGAAAAAGTCCCACCTGTTTGTCTACAGCTGGCATTTCATCATAGCAACTGATCATAAAACTCTAATGTTTCTCTTCAAGGATGACAAGGCGATTCCTCCCATCACATCAACTTGGATCCAGTGCTGGACACTGCTATAAGGTGTTCATGAATGCACCTCGAAACAAAGTCCAGAGAGACATGTAGCCAATGGGGATGCATTGAGCCACTTGTTACTACCCACCGGCCTACCTTCACCTCCAAAGATGGATGAAGTTATCATGGCTTTGAATAAAATGGACACTTTAACACTGCCAAGCAAATCCAGACTTGGACCCAAAAGCGCCCTATGTTGGCAAAGCTATGTCATATCGTCCTAAGTGGTGGACCACAAGGACGTCCTGCGGAAAAGTTTAAACCCTATATCTCAAAATATCAGGAGTTGAGCAGAGAAGATGGCAATATCTTGTGGGGAGCCTGTGTGGTTGTCCCATGTCCAGGCCAGCGACCAATCCTTGAAGAGTTACACAATGGCCACATAGGAATTTCTAAAATGCAGATGGTTCCAAGGAGCTATGTTTTGTGGCGTAGAGATAGATATTGAAAACCTGGCCAACCAGTGCAAAACCTGCCAGGAAGACCAGAAGGCTGCAGCAGCTTTATTAGACCCATGGGAATGGCTGAGGAGACCCTGGGTGTGAGTACATGCAGATTTCACAGGGCCATTTGTAGCTGTCTGAACTCAATTCTTATCAATGCCCATTCAAAATGGATCATCGTGCACTGAATGGCCTCTACTCCCCTTACAACACCATAGAAAAACTGCCAGTCCTTTAGGACACATAATATAATCCAAGGTCCCTGTCACAGAGAGTGGGACCCCTTTCCCCAGTGGGCGGTTTCAGACCTTTCAAAAGACAAACAGGGTAAGGTATAACTGGCCAGCACCCTACCATCCGTCCTCAAATGGTCTGGCTGAGCCAGCAGTCCAGTTATTCAAAAAATAGCAAGAGAAAGCAAACCAGGAAATCTGGAAATGTAGCTTGAATGTTTCCTCTTCGTCTGTGTGATGATGGGACGAACCCCGATGGAAGTATTGGTTGGCCGACGCCTTCAGATTAGACTTAGCCTGACTTTCCCAAGCAGACTCAGGGCTTTGAGGCGCAGTGGAAGTGCCCTTACCTCTGAGCGTGAAGGCCCAGGTTCAGGTCCCACCTGCTCCAGAGGTTTGTCATGACAGTTTGGGGGCATCTGGGTAGGTCAGTCCGTATAGCATTAGGTTTTGAATCTGACGGTCCACTGTTCAAGTCCCTCTCCGTGTGCTGCTTTGGCCTCTGTTTGCTCCATTCATTTACAACAATAATTAAGTGAAGAAATCAACTCCCTAAAGGGAGCTTCAGGAAGTGTTTGTTCGACTCGCAAACACGACCCTCAAAAGTCCACTCTTCCCCTTGCTTTTATTCAATTTGAAACTGGGGTTATTTACTGGTGGTAGTTAATAGATGAAAAAAATACCACAGTGATTTGGTGATGGGGATGAAAAAAATTCACCTGTGTGATAACATTTCTGGATTTAAAAAAAAGTGATAAAGCAGACGCAGGGATGGGTCTGCAGATCTGTCTCTCCCAGGCTGGGACTAACCTCTGCGTGCCACACGTATTGGCTCTGTTCTGGTATTTAACAACCAATGATGTTCCTTTCCAGTTTTTACAGGGAGGTAGAAAACTGGAGTGGTTTAAGGAGAGAATTCCAGCACTCAGGGACAAGCTGAACAAAGATACAGTCACAGATAGTGGAGCAAAACATGTGGGAGACGCAGCGTATCAGGAGAGCACAGCAATTTCAGTGATGGAGCCTTTTAAATTAAGCCAGTACTTTCTAACCCAGTTAAATTTTATGAATAATCCATCGTTTTATTGCTTTACAATGAAAAGAAAATTGAACAACTTTACGGTTCTCAATGATTTGTAATGCCAGTTACCCTAAAAGAGGCACAATCAAGTAGGAAAAGTGATAATTGATTGTTGACTGAAGCTTCCCAGCAGGTTTGAAATACCGAGCAACAAATGTTGACCTAATGTAAGGATGCTCTTTGTCGGTACTTAACTACATGTAATTCTAAAGAATATGAAGAGATTGAAGATGCTGCAATTATTATCCTTAGAGGAAAGGAGATGAAG